TAGAGCTTAGTGAATATATATATATATATATATATATAATACTGGATTAGTTATAAACATTTTAAGGTGACTAACAAAAATGTGTCTCATGAATCTGCTTTAGAACATTATCAAAAGAATAACAGTACAGCAAGCACTAACTATAAGATTAGTCTTGCTGTATGTGTGGTAAAGATACATACGTCAGAATTAAAACAGTGTATTCAGAAAAATTACACTGTGTAATAACATTTAGTAAGTAGAAAAATTGATTACACTTAATGTTGTCAAAGAGTAAAAGTTTTGTGTAATACTTATAAGTACGTATTCTAATAAAGTCTTTCCTACACTATAGGATAACTTTTTGTTTGAAAGTCTGAGAAAAACTAAATGTGTTTTTAATGTTCAAACAAGTTAAAGGTATTGATGAAAATATTATCGTATAATTTTTAATTTTTCAGCATTAAAACAAGTTATTGATGATAACAGTAGTATTGAACATATAATTTGTGCATTTGTTATCTTATCTGTTAATGATGCATTATATACTTTGCTATGTGAAACAGCTGACAATGAATGTTTCATGTTATAAAATGAGTAAACGATATATTTGCTTTAAATAAAATACTTACAACAAGAACAGATATTGTAAACATAAATCCTTTGAGGTGGGTGTAAGTCGAGGTTATATTTGCATTTGTGAAAAACGTATAAAGCAGTCAATACTATCGCAGATATAAATCACCGATTTTAAGATGTGAGAGTCGTGTAGTTGCTCTATGATATAGAAATCGTATTAATATGTTACTATAGCAAATGTAATTGTCTCATTGAAGTGACTTGAACTGTGCTTTAATATACCTGCATGAAACAGTAACTGGAAAACACCTGTTTTGTACTGATTTAATAACATGTTTGTTTACAACTGAAAAATAATTTGTTTTAGAAGCTGGTTTTTCAGTGTTTTTGAATGGTGTACTCTAGTAGCTCTTTCAGTGGTAGAAAAAAAAAATCTTATGTAATTGTATCCATTTCTATTCTGAGATATTAGAGTCAGTACTAATATGAATTTTAGAGTTGTACTACTAAATAAAATGACGGGGTCATGTATGTTTCTTCACGTGATTTACAGTTCAGTGAATATGTGTACCCGTTGTCAGGCTTATTTAAGTCACGTTTCAGTACGTATCCTGTTATAGAATTTGATGTTTATTAATCCTAGAAATTCTGCTTTAATATATCAAAAGATAAGCATCTTTTGACTTTCATTGGTGTTCCAGTAAATTGTTTATTGTACTTGCTTGGGAAATGCTGGAGATTTTTGTAAGAATATTCTATGCTTTGTGCATGTTATTCTGAATCTTATAACCCCACATGCTGAATTTGTTCCAAGAAGTATTAAGAATAATTATATATAACTTGTTAGATATTTCATGAACTTATAATATTCTGGTTGCTTTTGATGATATTCAATCATAAAAAGTGGGTGTATTTTGTGATGTAACTCCTCTTTAATTGAAACGTAATACTGTAGTAAGGTAATTCAATTACCACAAGCTGTGGTAAACGTATTACATCTGTGAAAATCGACAGCATGATTTTTTTCTTTGTTGTTTTCTTATAATTTTTATGTTGATTTTTTTTTAAAGCAATTAATGTTATATTGAATATTGTAACCCTGCACATGAATTTGAAAAGTATACCACTAATTGATCATAGTTAACATGAAGTTTTATGGATTCTTGGGATTTGTTCCAGTTGATGTGTTTTAGCAAGATTTATAGAAGGTTTAATACACAATTTAAAAACTGTTATAAAATATTATTGTGTTATTTGCATGTTTATTGCTTAATAATTCTAGGAGGTTTTGGCCTGCTCTTTGTTAGTTTAAAAAATATTTTGTATGGATAATATTTCAATTCATTGTATTTAATCTGTCAATCAAATTATTACTAACTGAAATTTCCATTGTGAAATCTGTGTAGGTTGTTAGTAAAACTTAGTGCCAGAAGCAAGAGGGAAAAGAAAAGGTCATTACATATAATAAAAAAAGGGTTAAAGATGGAAAGTTAATGGTAACTGAACATTACCACGAAACTGTTAAGTGATGTTTCTGCAGTAAATTGTAATATGTGTAATTTTTTTTTCCTGCTTATATCCATTGTATTGAAAATATCCCACACAAGTATAAAGGTACTAAAACATAGTGTTTAGGGTATTATTCATAAAATAAACTTTCTTATATACATGCAGTATTATTATACACAGTTAAATTTCTATAGTAAGCTCAAAAACATGTTATCGGTATATTTCTTTTATTTCATACAGTAGAAAATATTCATTCCATTAGCAGACAGTGGGAAAGGATTTGAATGATAAACTATGTTAGGATATTACTTCCTCAAACCTGTTGTTATAACAAGTTTCAGGGTAAGGTGTCAAAATGTTTACAGGTATATTGCTTTGAGAAATGTTTAGAAAGTCTTTTATAGCTGTCTTTTAATAGTGAAGAAGTCTTGCAAGCTGTTCCATATTTTTTTTAGCAGGTCTAATAACTAAGAACGTTAAATACAAATTGAAAATTCAGTGGTATTTTTATTAAAATAGTTTGGTCAAACTTGCAATTCTGTAACATTGAAATGTTAAGAACAAATGCGATGTTTCATCTTGTCTATACAATATATATAAATGTATTCCAAAAGTGTTTATTGCTTATTTAGTCATAGAGATTTAAATATCAAAATAAAAAAATATACTAGTAAAAACCCTCTGCCCATTGTACCAAGTACGTTAACAGTTACACTGCAGTAGAAAATCAAAACAGTTTGAATTTTTGTTGAACTTGTGTGCTACCATGTTGAATATGTTTAGTCCCTCATATTTCGAAGAGTAAACAGTGGTTCTGTGTTGTTCGGGTAACCGTTTAATTATTCAAGCAGTTATAAAGTTTAGACTAAATGACAAAGTGGACTAAAGACGCGAAAATTAATTTGTTTCACAGAAGGTTGGTTGTTTATATTTGGATGCTGTGTTGCCAGTTGTCAATAAAATCTTTTGTGCAAGAGTTCTTTGTCTGTCTCATTAGACAACAGGTTTTGTTACTTATTTCACGAACTTTCACTGCCTAAGATGTAAATAGTATAAAAACTTAAAAAAGTACTATTATATAGGTTGAAGAATAAACTTTTTATTTTTCATACCATAACTCATGATTATTAGATAATTCAGCATTATAATTGATGCAGCTTAAATTATGCTGAAAAACTAAATATTTTTCCGAGATTTGTTGTGCAAAATAAAAGTTTAATTTCAAAATGTTAACACTAAAAGTAAACTGCTATTAATTCCATATATAGTTGTAATTATTGAATAATTTCTCATACATATCAAGTTGCTGTACGCAAAATTACTATAGAATATTCGGTTGTAAGACGATAAATAAACGTTACTTTCAGGTAGCGGATTAAAACTTAATATTTTCATCAAACAAATTAATCTAGATTTATTGACCATTACTAATGGCATTAGTTTAGAACCCGTAGGAAATAAAACTATAAAAATTAGCCTTCGCTATAGCTATAAATTAAAATAAACTCGGGGGAGTAACAGAAAATGTGGATTTTAAAACTTTCAGACTAGAATTTTGTTAATAAATAAATTACATAAAAGTAAAACATCTATCAAACGAAATCGTTTACGACAGTAAAACACATCCATTGAAACCTCCATTATATATAGGACTCGAGAACGCTTTCACTTAAGGAACACCTTTCTGTTATGTGAAAGACTAAACAGTGCAAGAAAAGCGGATTGTTCACTATCTTTTGTAGACAATTTCTTTTTCCCCCTGCTCGTGGCTAAAGAAATCAGAAAACTTAGGGGGGGGGGGGGTATCAAATAACACTTTTGGAGGGATACGCCTTCTCGTGGTTTACACTGTATTTTAACAAAAGTTGTTGAACTTCAAGTTTTAAAACCAGGGACAAATGTGTGTGTGTATTAGATAGAAAAAAAAAAAAAAACGACTGAGAAAAACATCCTAGACATAGTCCTCCTCTATTCATTGCTTATTTCCATTTAGCAGAACAAAGTTTATGTTGACAGTTACAAGTGGTGGTGTTTAGAGTACTTATACTATGGAATCTACTAGTATTCTGGCTGCTCCTGTATCAATCAGAAATTATTTGTCGTCCATTTACTCTGACAGCTGTGTACCAGGATCCACCAAGACTTGACATAGTTGAGTTAACCACCACACTTTTGCGTGCAAGCTGTTCATTGTACTCCCCCAAGTCCAGGTCTAACTTGGTTTTTTTTTGGAGCTACAACTGCAGTGTCCGCCACCTGTTGTTGGTTATACTGAACCCTTTGCACCATCAATCAAAACCAATTGCCTTTTCTACCTTGCTGCTTTTTAAGGTAGGGATAGTTCACTCAAAAGTTATCATATTCTCTCAGACAAAAAGTGGTTTGCTCCTCCCTTCCAGGATGACATCTTTGAAGAGGCACTGACAGAATAGGTTGTGGCATATAAATTATGGGAGGATCTAGATATGCCTGACTGTGCACTGAATACTAGAGTAGTTGCATTGCAAAGCTGAAGTATGTGATTGGCTGGTTCAAATATAGGATTTCATGGGTGCCTAGGTTGGACAGTTTGTCTAAGGCAAAGTCACTAATGAGGCTGTATTCAAGACTTGAAAGATGGTTACCATTGAAAACGTGAGTGCTTATGTGCACCAGTTTCACGATAAAGCTTACCCAGCAGATTTTGAAGATATCCTTATAGACAAAGTTTATGGAAGGACTATCTAGCAATATGATGTTGCATCATCTGGATGTAAGAGGCAATTACTGAGGCAATTTCTCTTGTGATGCCGTATGAATTTGTAACTTCGAACCAGTAACAAGCAAGAAAGAAGCAGCAGGATTGCTCTGCTTTCCACAGGGTCGAACCGCTAGCACATCTGAGTAATAACTGTCTTGCAGTCCCATAACTGCTTCTTATCCAAGTGCTTGATGAATTCTAAGACCAGTCTTTCTAGGCTCAGAACAGCTTTTATAGAGTTCAGCCATTCCAGGTAGTTACCTCCCTAAAATACTTCAGAAAATAGTCCGTACTTTCTTTTCTTGTATCTTTGAAAATTGGCAGACTGATATGTATTGCCTTGCTCATGGGGATCCGTGATTGTTTCCAGAAACTCTCATTTTCAACATTCATGTGACCAAGATGTCCTAGACTTTATTGGCACAGCATGGTAGGGGATCTCATGGTTGCCGATACTTTGTAAACATTTTACAGAGCAATGACATGATCTAGGCAGCTTGTCTGTCAGCTCTGCTCGACCACAAGTTCCTCCATGGATCATGTTTACATTGCAGTATACCTCCCAGCTTGGGGAGGCTCAACACTGCCCCATGACTCGCTCACCTCACAAATAACGCCTGCCATCTCATCTGCTGGTGA